TGGAATGACTCCACAAATTAAATGGCTACATGACAACTTCTGCTTCTGCTTTTTTGCTGTTGTTGTTAGCTTTTTCTTTGCAAAAAACATTGAAACAGGGTAGTTATCAGCAGTGACAACTGTCCATGGTTCTGTGGTGATATATGTTGCAGATGACACCTGTGGGATCTTTGGAATAATATTTTTTACGTCATATAAAATTCTACATATTATTGTTTTATTATTCATTCAAAATATTTCCTCAAGGCTGAAGACATCCTTACCTCTATATAAAACTCCAGTAGTCAAACATCTACCTGTTTTTTACCAGTTCCAGATTATGAGGGGATATAATATTCTTGCTGATATTCTTCAAATGGTAGTTTTCAGTGTCTTTGTGTGTTATTTCAAAGTTTTTGAGGAAGAAGTTCAGGAATTTTAATGAGGTTAAATAGAGAATACTTCATGGAAAGTGCTGGCGTACGGTATTTACGCAAGAGTTGTTGACGTATCAGAAATCGAATGAGTGAGCGCAGCAAACAAGTACGATTTCTGATACAAAAACAGCGAGTGCGTAAATACCGTACAAAGCACTTTCCATGTGGTATTGTGTTTATTATATACGTACTGAGATATTCATCATTTTGGCAGCCTTTTTATTTTAAATCTTTCAAAAATGCTAAAATTTGCCGCTACACACTTACCGCGAAATGACAACGAAAACAAAGTATCAGCTTTTCAGTAGAAACGTTTGTTAAAAACAATATAAATGACGGTAAGGATATGAGGTAATCCAAGAACTATAAGTAATCTTAACTGTTTGTTGTCAATGCAAAATAGAAAATGAGTGAATTTAAGTAAGCCGGTTTCAATATAAGCTTAAGCTTAAATGAAAGGCAAAGTAGCTCCGACAAAAAGCACAGCAAAAGCTTACGTCTCGTTCTGTTTTTCCCTTTCCGCTATTGTTTCGCCAGCTCTCCGCCATTTTCTTCATCGACAGTGAAGCAAACGAAACTATTCCACTCCATTTCCGGAATGTTTTTCACTTTTTTAGCGAAAAAAACTCTTTGAGTAAAACTTTTCTTGTTGAATGTGTGCGAGGCCATGCTGCAAGCTGCAATAAAAGGCGGGAATTTTGGCGTGAAACTCACACACCTCTTTGGCTTCTCATTTTTCTCACACATGAAAAAACATCGTTTGCAATTCTGATTGGACGCATCATTTTTTTCACGTGTGAAAACTATCATTCGCTCCTCTGATTGGCTTGAACTAATTTGCGTACAAAAATTTACGACATAGCTTTTTGGTGAGTATTTCTCAGTATGTATATAATAAATATAGTTACTTAACTTAGTTAACAATGAGAAGCTCCAGTAGCTGCTCAGTAGTTTGCTTGGCATTAGCGTGGCATTGACGTGGTGTTGGTGTGGTGTTGACATTTGTTAAGGTTTTATTGGTGTGCTTTGGTGAGCTGGCAGTTATCCTAGACTCTTTTGTTTTTACCGGGCTTCATGTTTCTGTACAAGGTCTATTGCAGGGCAATTTCCAGTGCCCCCTGGGTCAGTGGTGTGTAATTTATGCATCTGATCATGAGTTTGCATGTACTAGTAGTTTTACAGTGCATAGTGTTCAGGGTGTTTTGCTCAGTGTTACTCAGTTTTAGTGTTTTTGCCCTTTCTCCTCACCTCTTATTATTATTATTATTATTATTATTATTATTATTTATTAGTATTAGTGTGGTCCCTATTTCTTCACTGAACTCTCAGTTCAGTGTGATGGGTGCTTTGGCTGGGGCTGGGTGTGGATGGCAAGGCTCGTGGCTGGGTTGTAGGTAGGGCAGGCTTGTGGGGTGTTCTTGCTACCTGGGTTAGGGGTTGGCGGCTCCATTTCCTAGGTTCTACCCATGACATAAGAAATCTTCCACCCTTTACTCATGGTCTTTATCACCAAAACAGCCAAACCATCACTCTGCTTCTTTGTCTGATTTCTGTGCATCCTTTTCCAGTTTGGAGGTGTGTCTGACAGAATGTTTAACAGCTTGAACTCCAGATCTGGAGGACCAGGGTTCAATCCTTGTCTGTTGAATTGATTCCTTAGACATGGAACTTTACTCCACTTTGTCTCTCTTCACCCAGGTGTGTAAATGGATACCTGCAAAATAATGCTAGGGGGTGACCCTGCGATGGACTAGCATCCCATCTAGGGGGAAGGGGGAATGGCAAGAATCTTATAGTCATGCTTCATGCCAAGGAAGCTGGGATAAGCTCCAGCCTTTTGGGGCCTTTGGCTTGCACACACCTTTAATCTTTTTTTTACCTTTTCCAGTCTGAGACTTTACTATTGACATCAGCCTTTAAATCGAAGCAAACATCTTTCAATTTTGGCAAACCAGCAAGCTCAGGAAAGAAATACCGGGGCAGCCATGGAATTTAATTAAGCCAATCAGTCAGGGATGGAGAAATATTTTAAATGTACACACTGTAGCCATAATTGAATTACAGCAGAAGTTTTCTTTGCAAAATGTGTTTGTCTTGAACAGGAAAGTAGAGCTGTACAGTATGGAGTGGCAAGATGCTGTGTATCTATCCTGGTTTATTGTGAGTGCAGCACCTTTTGGTGGTCCAATAGGTAAGTACATCAGACTTCTTCTAAGTGTTGTTTAACCAACAGGGTGGTCAGGTTTCATTTCCCTGCATTATCTTAAGGTAAATAGGACTCACCAGGGTAAACTTTTAAGATCCAGAACCACAGAAATGCTCTTAACAGCACTCTAAATACCAGCATTAATTTGTAAGTTATGTCTATATCAGCAAGAGTCCATTATACTGTACCAGAATTTTGTTTCAGTCAACTGTCTGTAGATGTCAAGGGATTGGCTGAAAAAAGTTTAAAGGAAGAAAACAACTCTGAAGAACATCCTGCTTCTTATTATTTTAGAACAGCTAGTGCATAAAACATGCAATTGATACAATATTAAAAAATATCATTACTTTCTAACAGCAGTCCAGCTGTGTTGTATGTAGATGCTTAACTGTCAGTAATAGTTAAAAAAAAGTAATTGAAGGGCTCCATGCTAAATTGCCCCATGCCCCTGTGGTGTATTTTTGGGATGATTCATTGGGATTTAAGTAGGTTTAATCCGTAATGCACACCAATGCTAACTCATGTACTCTTCTACATACATGGGGTGTCATGTAGCAGCCGCTCAGAAGAGAAGTCACCAATGGTGCCTAACCCTGACTCCAAACAATACTGAAACAATTGAATGAATGACATCATTGTTTTCTGCGACCAATTAGGAGAGACCTTACGAGCAGCTCCTACACAACTGTACATGGTGGTGAGGATGGTACACCTAAATATTTACATGTCCTGCAGCCCCCCACATGGAGATTTCCTTTTTAGAGGAATGGTTTGTATTTGTTGTTTTTAAAATTTTCAGCTCTGATAAGAGATGACAAGCATTTTCCTCGAGTCCAAGGATCAGCAATTAATAAACCCATCATTCACATCTTTTCCTCTGCTGGAAGGGAACTTGCCACAGTCAAGGTATGTGTCTTTTTTTAAGGTCTACTGCTACTTGTTGCTTAACCTGGGAACACAGACAAAGAGGAGTGTCGACCAGGCCAAGCAGGCTGTAGTGTTTCACGGTCAGTGAAACATCCGGATTTAACCGAAATAAATGCACACAACAACAGATTCAACTCGACACTTGACCATGTGCTTTTTAATTACCCATAACTCATTTCGACCGTACACAATTACATCATCGATACTACAATCTCTCCTTTTTTCCGAATAAATCGTCCAGTCCGGTTTCTTAAACAAAATAACAATACAAACTATAACAGTCTCTCAATGGCTACTAACTCAAGGAAAAATGATCCAATGTCCAAGACTTAAATCAATACAAAATGACATTTTCATAAAGGTGAAATGTCCTTCGCAAGAACTGTCCATTGTGTAAACAAAGTCTTAACCAAGTTCATAATCTTTTAGTCTCTCAGGTTGACGATTGTGCCTAGGCCGCAACGCATAATGCTGAGTTGAAACTCTTGGTTCCTCTTCCTGATTAGTTTCTGGGTCTTTTGACAAAGTCCCTTTAGGATTGCTGGTTTCTGTTTCCTGTGATTTGTCCTCCACATACTTCTGTAGATGGGTAACATTTCTTTTGTAGTGAATGCCAGCAGGAGACTTAATTTCCACATGACCTCCATGTTTGTTGACCACTTCATAGGGTGTGGCTTCAAATGATGGTGACAGCTTGTCTGACTTCGGTTTCTGAAGAAGAACTTTGTCTCCCTCTCTCAGGTTAGACTCACAAGCACCTCTCAGATTATCAGCATAGTCTTTGCCTTTTTGCTTTCTTTCACGATCTCTGTCCAAGACTTCACTGTCATTACTAGCTGAGCGCAACTCTTCCACACCTGGGAGCTTTGAACGAATCTCTCTTCCAAATAACAGTTTAGCAGGACTCTCTCCAGTAATTGTGTGTGGCGTGCTTCTGTAACCAAGCAAGAATTTCTGCAATTCCTTTCGCCAGTCACGTCCCTCGCTGTGCGCAACCCGCATCGCTTTCAGCAGACTTCTATTTTGTCTTTCAACCTCGCCGTTGGCTTGTGGCCACATTGGAGTTGACGTTCTGTGTTCAATGTTGTTGTCTTTGAGGTAGACTTCAAACTCTTGTGACACAAACTGTGGACCATTGTCTGTTTTTATTGACAGCGGTAGTCCATGAGTAGCAAACATTGCTTCCAGACAGCTAATCATTTTGCCAGATGTCACTGATTTGGTTACAGCTACTTCAAAGAATCGACTAAAATAATCAACAACCACGAGTAGATATTCACCCGTCGGAAGGGGTCCTAGCAGATCTACCGCAAGGTCTTGCCATGGCTGTGTAGGCAACTCTGTTCTCTTCATTGGTTCTGGGGGCAAAGGTTTCCCGACAAGCTGGCAACCATGACATGTTCTGCACCTTTGTTCTGCTTGACGGTCTATACCGGGCCACCATACTTTGGTACGGAGTCTTTGCTTGGTCTTAACGATCCCTTGATGGCCCTCGTGTGCCAGATCCAGTACTTGCTTGCGAAGTTTCATCGGAATGACTAATCTAGTTCCTCTCAACACTAACTTTCCTAGCACAGTTAACTCGTTTCTCACAGCTTTAAAAGCTGGCTCGCCGACAGCCCAATCATTGGTCTGAACACACTTCCTTAACATTGCAATTTCTTCATCTTCAGCAGATGCTTCTTCAATTTCCTGGATAGGTATGGCTCTGGGGGCTGCATTCTCTGCAACGTACCGAATGTATTCTTCCGCCACATTTTTGCTTTCGTTTGAAATTTCTTGGGTTAGGCGAGATAAAGCATCAGCTATGTTCTGTGGGCCTGGACGATACATCACTGTAAACTCATATGGCTGAAGTCGTAAGACCCATCTTTGGATTCTCGCAGAGGGCTGAGATTTACTTGAATAGATCACTTCAAGTGGTTTGTGATCAGTTTCCAATTCGAAATGTTTTCCATATAGATAAACATGGAACCTTTCGCAAGCCCAGACTAGAGCCAGAGCTTCTCTTTCTGTTTGAGAATATCTTCTTTCAACTGCTGTTAGACTTCGGCTTGCGTAGTAGACTGGTCTCCAATTGCCATTTTGTTCTTGAGCAAGAACAGCACCCAGTCCAACTGGACTTGCGTCAGCAATGACTCTTGTTTTGGCATCTTTGTCATAGTAAGCTAATGTTTCTGCACTTGCTAGTGTTTCCTTCAGAGCTTTGAACGCTTCTTGTTGCTTCTCATCCCATTTGAAGGTTACACCTTTTCGTGTCAGCTGTCGAAGTGGTTCTGAAACTGTGGCCAGATTTGGAATGAATTTTGCACTGAAATTCACAAGTCCCATAAAACTTCTCACTTCGGCTACAGACTCAGGCTCTCTGGCGTTGACTACTGCTTCAACTTTGGATTCTGTCGGTCCAATACCACGTGTAGACAATAGGTATCCCATAAATTCTAACTGGGGCATCTTGAATTTGCACTTCGCACTATTCAAGGTCAAACCTCTTTGTTGCAATCTTTCTAGCAGCTTCTCGAGCCTCTCATCATGTTGCTGGTCATCTTTACCATGAAGAATGATATCATCAGATATATTACGCACTCCTTCACATCCATGCAGAGCTTGCTGGATAGCATGCTGATAGATCTCAGGAGCTGAGGTTACACCAAACATTAATCTCTTGTAACGATAAAGTCCAGCATGTGTTGTGAATGTTGTGATGTCACGTGATTCTTCACTCAGTTCCAGTTGATGATAGCCCCATTTAAGGTCTAACTTAGAGAACACACTGCTTTGGGTCATGTCCTGGAGGACCTCATCAACAGTGGGAATTGGGTGTCTTTCTCTCACAATAGCTTCATTCGCTCTGCGCATATCAACGCACAATCGAATCTCACCAGAAGGTTTGGGAACTACTACTATTGGGCTGACCCACGGTGTTGGTCCTTTCACTTTCTCAATAATGTCCAGCTGCTCTAACTCATGCAACTTGCTCTCTACTTTCTCTCTCAGACTGAATGGCACTCGCCTGGGATGCTGAACAACTGGATTGACTTCTTTATTCACATGGATCTTAACTTGATAATCAGTTAACTTGCCCACTCCTTCAAAACATGCTTTGTATTTATCAACAAGGTCTGGTGTACTTACAACATTAACTTGTGGTCCCAGTCTTAGTGCATCTAATTCCATGGCTGTCTTCCTGCCCATTATTGGCCTGCCTTCATTGCAGATGACAATAAATTCAGCTGTGACATCTTTTCCAGCTAGGTTTACTGATGCTTCGAACTTTCCCAGTGTGTCCAGTGGTTCTGAAGTTCCATAAGGATACAATTTCTGATTTGTCTTTTCTGACTTGCACTTTACTCCTTTTTGCTTCAATTCTTCCCACGTCTTCTGATCAATGATATTACATGATGATCCTGAGTCGATGAGAACTCCATTAAGAATGACACCTCCAACTTGTAAATCGACTATCTCTGATCCACTCCTGTCCCATGTTTTACCGAGTCCCACAGTAAAAGCATATTCATCATCTTCACCATCCTCCACGCAGTTGACTTTTCCTCGTCCACCTTGTTTCCGTGTGTCCTTTTTCTTCTTCTCTTGTTTACTCTTTGTCCTGCAGACTGAAGCAAAATGTCCTGCCATGTGACACTTTGTACAGGTTTTAGATCTTGCCGGACAATACTTGTCACGTGCGAAATGTCCACTTTGTCCACATCGGTAACATTTCAGACTCTTCTGATCACTTTTCCCATTTCCTCCAGGTTTGTTGTCTTCCTTGATGGCATTAACAGACGCTCCCACATCACCTTCGATCTGTTTGGCTTGGGTTTGAGATAACTCCAACGATCGAGCAATCTTCTGCCTGTCTGCCAATGTTAGCTCTTGTCCCTTTCCCAGAAGTTTTCGCCGAAGCTCTGTGGACTTGCACTTATCAATGATTTGATCACGTATTTGCTCATTCTTCGTAGCACCAAATTCACAATTCGCAGCTTGATTACTGAGCCTTACAACAAATTGATCGACCGTTTCATGCTCTTCTTGCTTCATTTGGCGAAAAATGTGTCGCTCGTATGGTACACTCACTTGTGGTGTAAAGTATGCATCGAGTGTTCGAAGTGCAGCCTTGTATGCATCGTCGTCTTCCCCTGCAGGTGCACCCGGATCCGTTAGGGTTTCAAAGATTTCTTGGACTTCCATCCCTGCGCAATGTAAAAGCAACGCCTTTTTTCGAGCGGCTGCTGTGATTCCACGACCATCGACGTAAAATTGAAATGATTTTCGCCATCGCCGCCATCTTGGCCCCACACTCGTGCTATCTCCTCGACAATCAAATGGCTTAATTCCGCGAAGTTCGTCATTTGTCGCCATAACTTTCCTTCAAACAGACATATCTTCGTATCACTTTATCCTCGTCGCCAATTGTAGTGTTTCACGGTCAGTGAAACATCCGGATTTAACCGAAATAAATGCACACAACAACAGATTCAACTCGACACTTGACCATGTGCTTTTTAATTACCCATAACTCATTTCGACCGTACACAATTACATCATCGATACTACACAGGCTACTTGTTGTTTAATGTTGACAAATTTTGTCAATATTGTTCTTGGCTGGAAGAGTAACTGTCATCATTTTCCGTTATTGCATTGGAAAAGGGCAGGAACTTGTATTATCATATGGTTGGTTCTGTGAGCAGGAAAGATGAAGCAATATTCTGACTGGTTACTGAAGCAGGGAGAATGGATCTATCTTAGTCCATCACTAGTCTGCTTCACAGCCATTTTTAGTGTTGTCACACAATGCTCCTACCCACCTCCCGTTGCGTGACAATGCTAAAAACAACAGTGAAGAAGACTAGTCCATCACTGCATAGGAACAAGAACAAAAACCAAAATGTTCTACTTCTGTAGGCTGTTGATCAAGTGTTCTTTTTTATTCTTAGTGGGATGGAGGCCCCATAGTTCAGATAGGATGGTCCGTCACAGAGGACCTACTTTGCGTGGCTGATGATGGTACAGTGATGGTGTATGATATTCATGGCGCAATCAAGAAAACCTTGTCAATGGGACAGGTAAGTGTTAAATCATTTTGTGTCATGAAAAGGCTGAAAAAGAAGACATGATGCATGTATGTTTGTAAAGTACCACAGCTTGACAACTTTTAGTCAGCAACTTGAAGCTCATCTTAGCCCCTCGATGCCATATCTTATGTCAGTAAATTCTTTAACCACCCCAAGTAAATAAGTTTTCTGACAAATTAAGTAATCATCAATTTTTCCATAACTATAAGCAAAGTGAATGTAATTTATAATACAGTATATTAACATCAAAAACATAAGTCATAGACTGTTTGCTACTTTATTAAAGGGGTTGCACAAAAATAGAGTATACTCATACATATACTTTTTGTAGCAAAGGCATGGCCACTGAATAATATTACCCGTATGTCGTGTATGTTTCAGGTCAAAATTTCAATTCAGGTTAAAAGCTTTTAGCCTTGGTTGATTCTCTATCTCCTTTGTCTCCTAGTCCTAATTTATTCATGAATTAGCTCTGTGAGACAAAGGAAATCAAGAATCAACCAGGGTATGATTTTAACCCATAACATACATTGTATTTATGTTGTTTTTGCATGTGGCCTTANGTGAGACAAAGGAAATCAAGAATCAACCAGGGTATGATTTTAACCCATAACATACATTGTATTTATGTTGTTTTTGCATGTGGCCTTATCAAATACACAGCAACTTCATATATCTGGTGCTTTTAAGTTGGGTACAGCAGACGAAACTGGTAATTTTTATCTGCATTTTTTTGTAGGATGCCAAGGAATCCAAAGTACTTGACTGCAAAACCTATAATTTTGCTGGAAGGACCGGCATAGCTATCCTGACTAGTAATTACCACTTTTATGTCGCAAACAAGGTGGAAGAGGTCAGGAGTCGACGGTATTATGACCCACCAGGTAAAAAAAATCATAAAGTTCAGTGTTTCAGTGAGATTAATAATGTTTTATTTTGAAGTTACATGTTCGTCTCACATGATTTTGTGATCTATAGAACTCAATATCTGCTTGTGTCTCACTTTCCTTTGGTGATAACTTTGAATTTGGTGAGAGTTAAATAAAAAATTGTTGTTCAACAGGCGATAAAGAAATCTTGTCATGCATTATTCCTTGTAGCATTTGACTGACTTCAAGTGGGCTTGAATTCTAACTTTTGTTTTTGCGGCGTGACTATTTTTCAGGCTTTCTTCTCTTAAATATTTACGATGATCTGTCTTAGTTAAATGTGTATTTTGCCACATTTTTCACAAGGAAAACAATAACTGCTCTTGACCCCAACTCGTTAAAATTCTATCACCTAACTGCCTGAGGGCTGTCCCTATCTGAGAAAACTAGAAAGTCTAATCGTTTGCAGATGTCTCTACAAAGGCAGCACTTTCTGCTCAGCATTAAAAGATGCCTGCGTAAGTGTTGATCCGGCCGGTGTGTTGAACTAGCGACCTCTCGCTCAGCAGACCGGCGCTTATCCAGCTGAGCTAACCGGACGGCAAAAAATGACCAGTCATGAATCTTAAGAAACATAGCGACAGTTATTTAAACGTAGTTTAGCCAGTGTTTAACAAAACCGTGTTCTGAGCCATTTTTCGATTTGCCCAACGGTTTTATCTAAACCCCGCTTATTGTGAAGTGTTTTATGAAAGCATATAGAGTAGATTAGAAAAACATTTATCTTCTTAAAATATCGCACTAAGGAAGAGATTCTGGAGGTCCAAAGATTTGTTAAACCCCGGCTTAAATTAAACTTTGCTTAAATAACCGACCCATAATTTTTCAACCAGGTTTGGATGCTCCCCCTAGCAGCTGGGTCATTATGCCGCATGACAGAGGTTCATCGTTGCTGGTGGCAATTGATAATCTGTTGTACCTTACAGAAAAGGGACAGTGTAATAGACTGGTGAGCTGTAGTATACAGTAGAACTGTTATCGTGATACAACCAATTATAATCCAAACCATTCAAAATAACTTCAAGATATTTGCACACCCATTGCAACTCAGCAACGATGGCGAAAACGTTGTTTGAAACTTCATGGCGATGAATCCAACTCGCATAATTTGTCAAATGCAGGCGAGTCCTGGACTTGTCTCGGAGTTGAATTTTTAGGGACTGTTTACATGGAGATGGGGGACCCCAGATAGGTGAGGTGACATGCGGTAGGTCACCCCACCTATCATGTAAACGTGATCAAATTAAAGTCAGAGATTATAATTATGGACAGGTAGGTTACCCCACCTAAGCGAAAAAGAGAAAAATTGATCATCGTGTTTACGTTTTTCATAAAACGCTAAATTAGGAAATTTCCGTCTTGACAAAATGTGCCAGAAGCCTTATGTACGTGCAGCGTTATCGTTTAACGAATTTTCGACCGCCTAAAAGAAATTTGACTGGACACATCGCTCACCCACGACCGTTCAATATTTTTCGCTGTTCACACTGAACTTTGAACGGCTATGCATCTGAATTTTCGTACGGTTAAGGTGATGTTATAGGAGACGATGCGCCGCAACACAGCGTTGCAATGTTGGTTGCAACGTTGCAACCATTCAAAACAATTTCGCAACAATGTTGCAACGCCGTGTTACGGCTTGCGCGAGAAATCGTTGTTGAGAATTCGAGTGAACTATCGAATTTGCAGGCGGTCGAAAATTCGTCAGGTTGCCTTTTTGACTTTCTCTTTGCTGTCACTGTCTCGAAATCATAAACTTCCTCTTGAGTGCAAAGTGCAAGACAGGTTGCTACTTTTTACCAATCCTGAATCAGCCACAGGGCGTAGCAAAGCAGTGGGTGCGGGGGAAGGAAGGAACGGAGGGGAAAAAATAGAGAAGTGTGTTGAGATGTCGCAATGAGAATATTGTACATCTCCGGATTTATCAGTGTCACAGCTTTAAATATGAAATAGCGAAGTCTCAATCGTTTATAACGTTGACAAATTTTTCTCCGAACTCACACAACTGAGTATGCTTGCTGTCTGCTTGTTGAACAGTTTTGATATTATTCAATTTTCAGACTGTTTCATTCAGCGCTGGGACCCCGGTCACTTCCATCATAGAAATGGCCATATCTTACAATTATGAATACCTAGCAATGTTTACAGACACTGGTTTGTTATGGATAGGATCAGCAGATTTACAGGTGGGTATAACACTGTTACACTGTTTAGCCCGCAAATGGACGAGCTCAATAATTCAACTGGCAGTACTAGCTTTGATTCTATATCAAGGTTTGAAGAAAGCATGTAAAAAGGCTTTTGTTTATACTACTTGAATTTGAGGTATCTTTTCTTGTGACAAATGAAGACCCGTAAAATTAAAATTTTGGTATCCGCCTTAGTTCTCCATGGTGGGATATCATCATTAATTTAGTTTAGCTACTTCTTCCTCGGAAACCTTGCTAAAACAAATTCTTGTCATGGCAAAGTTGATTTTTATTGCGTTCACTTAATTTGCCGACATCTCCGCAAAGCGAGGAAGCTTAGCAACCCGGGCCGCTAGGCCAGGCCCTGAAGAGCTCAACTTAAGTACACCTGTATTTCGCAGTTCTTTGAATTTTGCAGTTATTGTTGTATTTCTGTCTTCTTTAGAAAGTCTACTGTGAGTTCAATACTTCTTGTCCATCAAGACCCAAGCAACTAACCTGGTAAGGAGGGAGAAATTGTTGTTTCTAGAATGAAGGCTCTCGTCTTTTATGACGAATTCTCGCCTGGTTGGGTCCGGTTGGCCGTGCCATTCTTTTGAATTCAAACTAAGAGCCATCGGTGTTTTTCTTTCTTCCGCCACCCATCTAGCGATGTTTCGCCGCAACGTGTTGCTGCAACTAATCTCCTGACCTGTACACAGGGAGTACTCTGTCGCCGACTCATGTTCCTGCAACTTGTCTCCTTGTGTGTTCCGATCTTTACTTATTTCAACTTACCTTACAGGTGTGCAATGGGTGCTGTCATATGTTACTGGGACGATTATTTGGATGTTGTTGGACCGACAATGGACACCGTTAGATATCCTTTGATTAACAAGATCATTCTTTATCATGATCCGACTATCTTTCCAACTATATGCGGAGCAAGCTATCTAACTGCTAGAGCATGCTAGGATTAAAAATTGTTCTTGTTGTTGTTGTAAATGTTAGCTTGGCCAAGTTGGTAATTGTGCTGTCATGTTGCAATTATATATTGATCGTGTTACTTAAAACACCCTTGATTTGAACTGACAATTGTTACTAGTGTAGATATGAGTAGTTTCTATTTTTTTCATTGAGCACGCTATTGCCATATATTTAACAATTTTTGCACGAGTGCGCGTTGGATATGAGTGAAATAATTGTTTATTAAAACGCCCACAAAATATCGAGAATTCTTCCCGGCTTTATTTGTAAGAACAACCAGTTTTTCAAATTTTGGTATGTGGCTCATATGCCATGATGGCTAAGCCAATCAGAGCTCTTTAACTGCATTATCCAATGGTTCAGTTTTAATAAATATGCATATGCTACGGATAGCACCTGACTTCTTAACATATTTCACATATCAGATGGACAGTGCTGTTCATTTAGTTCAAGAGTTAGATGGCGTAAGAATCATTGGTAATGAGACTCATGAACTGCTTCAGCGAGTTCCAGGTTGGTAAATATGATTACGTTGATTGCGGGCGGTTTCTCCTCCTGGCGAAACCTCTCTAGCAACGAGGAGCAAGGTGAAACGGCTGTATTAGCAGACTACAAATGAAAGGTTTCAAAATGCTCGCAGATATTCTCTCTTGTTCTCGATTCATATAGCTATCGAAATATAGCCAAAAACAACAATCCCTGTTGGTGGCCGGGATGTCCTTGAGATTTATTTCTTCTCCACAGACATTTGATGCTTTTCCAAATTACCTTCTCTTAAAACTTGTCGTTACCTGTAGGTGCTTAAAGCGAAATAAACTCTCGAGACTGTTGACTTAAACATTTAGCTCAGTGTGGTCTTGGTGTGGCTTATGTATGATTTTTCAACTTACTCCCCGGAAGCAGATGAGACTGACTCTACATTCAGTATCCCCCCCTCCAAAGAAAATGGGTACCCTGTTGTCACGAACAGGCAAAAAGCCCTAAACTTTATTTCAGTCGACTTGTTCAATCGGTTTACGGTCAAGTCGCCCGAAATCAGAGTCATGTTGCCCGATATCTTGAGTCATGTCCCTCGAAATAAATAGCGATATTTGCGTCTTTGTTTAACTTCACATTTGTATAGGTTACCGGACACAGTTGAGTCAACATTTTTCGACTAAATTCCTTGCGATATACTTCAGATGATACTTTTGTTCAAGTTTATACACTCGATAAAATTTTAGGCGACGTGACGTAGGATTTCAGGCGACATTACTCTGGTTTCAAGCGATATGACTTCGGGCGAGATGACTTTCTAGCGACTTGACCGGTTACCGTTCAACCAGAACCACTTCTTATCACGAATGTGAACAATTATGTCCGATACTAGAGCAACTATTTCTATTAATCTTTTAGCTGCTGTGGAACAAGTGTTTAAAATCGGTTCAATGGAACCAGGTGCGATGCTGTTTGATGCATCAAAGGAATTTGAGGCAAGCAATGCTTCACTCTCTCTGGGAAAAAGTTGTCTCGGGTAAAAGGCTCAGCCGCCTACCTGAGCCAGTGGCAGATCTAGGGCAGGGGCCAAGGGGGCTCGCCCCCATCTCCTTTATTGTTAGACCGCCACTGCGAGCCATCCTGGGCGAGCCTGTTGGTGGGTGACCTGTTTTCCTTGGTAAGGTCACCATCCTAGCTGAGTCAACTTTTCTCCATAAAATAAAAAATAATCAACTTTATTTATATAGCGCTATTTCAGTCCAAAACCTCAATAGCGCTTTACTGAATTCATAAGAAAGAACAGTCATGAATGAAGAAAAACATAGCATGATAATAAAAAGAATACCTTACAAACAACATTAAAGTTTCAACTTAAAGATTCTAAACTACACTAAAAAGTAAATCCCTAAAAATTAAGCTGTCGTTCTGTTTCTTTCGTGTATATTCCTGTAAACAGAAAAAGACAACAACAACAACAACAACAACATCTTTATTTCTTACATTAAATATACAAATAACACACCACCTGCAAATAGCAAGGCTAATCGAGGCAGGTGGTGTGTAGACGGCTTAAGATTTATTACTGACCACCTTTTGCCATTTTGGCCAAATTTTCACAGAGCTACAAAAGTTGCGTCCGCACTGTACGCACACATGCGCACGTGAAAGAGCGCCCAAGCAGAGGAGTACATTCGGATGATCAAAGAACGTCTTCCTGCGGCTGTCCAGGAATGTATCCACGCCGCTACCGGGGAACATGAGCCTGCAATACAAAGAGGACTGCTGAGGGTGAGTATAGTTTCGGAGGTAGTCCTGGTAACCACATGATACTTATGTTCAGTTGCAACGTTTCGATTTTTACCGACACCCGTCCCCAGGGGTTGGGGGAGTTGTTGACAAGTTTAAGGTTTCTTACACAGTGATTGGTGCTCTGTAAACTGCCAGATAAATTTAGCATTTTTTGAAAAAATACATTATCTGTCTTCCGTTTCAAAATCACCACCTCCTACTGAAAAAGTTTTAGTTAATCTGCTGAAGTTCCTTCAAATTCGCTTGGGCATAAATCGTTGAACGTGATGCCGTGAAAAGAAAATCTGTACTCAGTATATCTGGGTAATTTGAATTGAAAGCGAAAGAGCGCAAATAGTTCGTCCACTATGTTTCTATTTGAGGAGTGTAGTAAGAGACATAAAGGACTTCATTAATGCTTTCGACGAACGCGTTATTCAGTGATTTTTCAGTTATACAGGATGAATTGAAAGTATAGCAAATCTCAGCGAGTGGTCAACATTCGCCGATAACACTGCTCTGTTACCATCTACCAGCGAAGTTTGCAACGTCGCTTGGTCAGAGATTTTATGCGGGAAATAGTTCTCGTGTAACATGTCATGTGTCCTCGTAGTAACCAATAAGAGCGCTCCGGCGGTCGATGTTGGGGAAAGTTCGACCTATAGAATAACCGTTTTTTTTTTACTGATCTCCGCTGTATTCCTTTTTTCTCTTTGCTAGGCTGCTTCCTTTGGTAAGAGTTTGCTAACTGATATGTCGCCACACGCGTTTGTTTCGATGTGCCGGAATCTTAGAGTTTTAAACGCCGTGTGGGACTACATGGTTGGAATTCCACTTACATATGGACAGTATCCTTTATCTTAATTAGAGAGTGAACCAAATTTTCAGTTGTTGCAAAAGCGTCGTCTCACAGGTTACATTTTGCCTAATTGCAGCGTGTGTTGCAGCAAGTCTACACTATGCTAGCCTCCGTAGCAAAACGAAAATTTTTTTTATTTTTCGGGTTGATTTGCAATTGCTCAAATTGCAATTTCCGCTGGGAAGATCATATCTTCATTTAAACTTGCATTTCCGCAGTTCACATCATCTTCAACTAAGTTATCATTGCTCTGATCCCAACTTTTTCGACGAACTTGCGCGGAAACCTTTTCTACGCAGGCTAACACTTTGCCAGATAGCTCTTACGTCGGCACGGAAACCATACCGGAGAGTGTTTTTGTCCACACGAGAGAACGGTGATTTCGGTGCGATTTATGTAACGGAGCAAAGCTGCGGGGTTTAAATTACATTTTTGTACAGGGAACGAACGAGATATGTTCCTTTTTCTCTTTTTTGAAACGGATATGTTAAAAGTACGTTAACACAGTTTTCAATTTTGTGGCTCTTATCAAGTTCTTAAAGTGGGCTCCATTTTGCTTTTTTGTCCTCTGAGAGTACTCTTTGATTATTTTTCAAAAATTATCCAATTTTGACGCCTTGACGATCGTCCTAGACTGGAAAAACTAACAATGAAAACCCTTATCGACAGGTGAGTTTTGTTTTTGTCACCCTGTTTGTTGTCTTTTTAAAAAAGCTAAAACGTGCAATGCTTATGCATTTTTTTTAGGGGGAGGGGGGCGGTAAACAAGGTGTATTGCTACGTAGCTGGAAACTTTTTCATAACAGTGCGCGCTCTCATTGGTTTCTTCGAGGTCACATGATATCTAACAATGAAGCTTTTTCCCGCCAAAATCTGTTAGCGGACAACATTGCAAAATCTATGACGTCATAGGGGAACAGTGCATTGTTACCCGCGAATGTTGACCGACGACTACCGTTACAGCGAGGGAAGCGAGGTTTAATGAATTTCCAGCTATATAGCCTCGGGAAACATTGAGATTCTCGGAAAACAAATTTAACTGTTTCCCTCGAGACCAGTCATTAAGTGTTTAAGTGTTTATTGCAATGTGAAACGTTCAATAAGTTCCGAGCTTCAGGTGAGAATCAAACTTACGACCTTTCGAGTTCGAGATCAGACGATCTACCCACTGAGCTGCTGGGGGCTCTATAGTGAGCAGGGTCGAAATTTATTAATAGTTCATTATTCACCAGACCTGACAATTAGTAAATAGTACGAAATAGTACTTTTAAGAAAAAATAACAGAATGAATATGATATATGTCCGATAATCTTTCTCTTTTGCCCGACTAAAATGGTGACGTCGTTGGACATAAATCATTTCCAAATATCAAAATTATTTGCATTCCTACTGAATATAAAACAAGCTGAAGCAAAGTTGTTGTTTATTGACTTGCCTACTTTCCGTGTATAAACGGTGTTTACTAAATTGATTTTCCCGCCGTCAGATCTGGAGAGGGAGTTCTTTGCCTTAAGTTCATTTTACTACCGTTTATTTTCTGCTCTTGTAGGCTTGTTTTGTGGCCTCACTACTGTCTGGCCATAAGAATCTGTGATTACCTGAAGATTCCTAAGGGGGAGGGTGCCAGTCGCATCCTTGGACACTGGGCTTGTTATAAAGTGAGTGTTGGCTGTTACCTATATGTTAGCAATCAGCTTATGGCTGGTAATTTGATAAAATTGCAATTGGTAATGGTAAATTATGGTTGTGGCAGTAGACACAACTGGGGCTGGGTGTCCGGTGGTTGTTTCATGTGCTGAATTTGGCACATTGCTCTTCGTGTTTGTGTATTTATCAAAGATCACAAAATCAACCTGTGAAAAGATCTAGATCAATTAGACTGGATTGTACGCGGTGAAGACAGCGTGGCCAGGCGCCCATCGTGTTGTTTTCGCAATCCGCCGGTCCCGGGTTGGAGTCCCACTCTAGCCACTTGCTGAATTTATTCACGATCCGGTGTTTCCAAGTTCAGATACCCGGTCATGCTTGTAAATAGCCAACTGGTTGCCTCCTGCCAGTTGGGGTTTTTAATCCTGTTGTGTTTTATTTCGTCAAAAAGTAAACAGCTGAACTTTCTCATAGCTGGGATGATCACATTGAAATTAACTTCTCCGCCCTAGTAGAATACAATAGTGTCCGTAAATAGTTTTTCTTGTGTTGAATATATTGACATCTCTTTCGTTCCTTCACTTCTTCAAAACTTGCTTTTCTTGTTTAAACAGGTTCAGCAAGCCAATGTTGATGACGAAGAGATTGCTCGTGCCATCAACTCCAAGCTTGGAGAGACTCCTGGGATATCTTACTCAGAAATAGCTTCAAAGGCAGTGGACTGTGGACGAACTCACCTGGCCATCAAGGTTAGTTGAGAGCATTCACATGTGAACAGTTTTATTATAGATTACGTTCCAAGTACAATTTGAGGCATAAAGCGGTGTCTTCCGTCAGTATTTGCTTGCTAAATGCACTGAGGCTTAAAATAACGTGGGTTGGTATTGAATGGGATTTTTTTACCTGCGAGATTGCTTTTACTGTAGGTAATCAAGAATTTTATTTCAGTATTCGGAGTATGAGGAACGCGCTTTGTAATAGGTTCGGCGGTCCGAACTTTCACCATTGTTCTGTCCAGGGGTTACCAACATGCTCGTCTCATAGGACGTCAACAAAACCTGGAACGGACCGGGTCAGATCAATCCCTGTAACTCACTGAATAACGAAAGGTAAGGGATAGTGCCTCTGGGAATGATCTGATCCGNTTGGTATTGAATGGGATTTTTTTACCTGCGAGATTGCTTTTACTGTAGGTAATCAAGAATTTTATTTCAGTATTCGGAGTATGAGGAACGCGCTTTGTAATAGGTTCGGCGGTCCGAACTTTCACCATTGTTCTGTCCAGGGGTTACCAACATGCTCGTCTCATAGGACGTCAACAAAACCTGGAACGGACCGGGTCAGATCAATCCCTGTAACTCACTGAATAACGAAAGGTAAGGGATAGTGCCTCTGGGAATGATCTGATCCGGTTCTGCGGTCCAGGTTTTGCCTACGGCCTTTCTCGTGGCTTCGCCGCTTGTGCCTCCACGAGGAGACCTGCTTACAGCCTTGCTTAAAGCCAGCCTTGACGTCTAGCTGGAGCAATCTCACCATAGTAAGTTCGTCGTTTGACAATCGGTAAACTAGCCTATCACAGTCATGCCATGATAGCCTGTTCACAGACCCTCTATTTTCTCTTCAAAGTCCGTCGAGCGCGGGTGATAAAATATATACCGCAGGGGATTATATTGGAAAAGAACGAAAAGAAAATTAAAACAACGTCTGTGTACAGGCTATGCCATGATACATAATGTATCTTTCAAGATACTCCCATCTTCGTGGTCTGATTTTTTACCTGTAGCTGTTGGACTATGAAGTAAAAGCCGCTGACCAAGTTCCACTGCTCATGTACATGAATAAAGATGACCTGGCGCTCGAGAAGGCCATTATGAGTGGAGACACGGATCTGGGTGAGTTATAAGTGGGTACCACTGTGGAGAACTACAGCTAACTTTAACTATAGTGGATGGGAACAGTTTTTGAAGCCCGTTTTTGTTTCGTCGTAGTCGCAAGAGCCGACTTAGAGAAAGATCTATCGTAATGTTGAAATTGTACCAAAGGTTCCAAAAATTTAGAATAAACGTTTTCTCAGCTTAAAAGTTGGCGTTACACAAGCGGCGTTACAAGCTGAGACAGAGGTTCAAACCTTAAAACATTTTTGGGATTGTTTTGTTGCTCATTATTTGGATCTTTCCTCGCCGTTGACACAATTTCAAGTATATTTCAACCATCTTGATCCTTGATCCTCCATTGGTACCAGCTTTCTCTGGTCAGGTGATCAAAATTGATGGATCCGAACCGCCGTCATCCAAAACCCGCCTACTTGATTTTCCCCTGTATCTAGATGACATTTCATTTGTGTTGTCTTTTTTTTATTTCTAGTGTATATGGTTGTTATGCATTTGAAGGATAATCTAACTCTTGGCGAGTTCTTGATGGCCATACGTTACCGTCCTGTGGCACTCAGCCTCTACATCAAGGTGAGTCTATGAAAAAGAGGTGTGTAAATGAGTGCGTATTTGTTCAAGTCTCCAACCAAGAAAAAATCCGCCATAAGGCTCTCGAACGTCACGCTTTTGGTGTCTGACAATTAATATTTTATTTGCCAGGAGACATTTTTTCCTGTATCTGTTCATTCTTTTAGCTCATAAAAATGACGTCAAAATGTTTAAAACTTAAGTGGAACGGTGAGTGGTTTTACGGCAAAGTTTGGAGCATTTTTAATGTCATTTCTTTGAAATGTCGGAGTCTCGGCAGCGAAAAATGGCTACTTGTCCATTTGTTTTTTTACAATGTCTTGGAGAATCGCACTCAAGAGACAGAGAAGAGCAGAACCTTTTGTTTCTATACCGGGTACTTTCATAAGCAAGAGCTCTCGACTAATCGGGGTGCGGAAATCACTCGGTTATTGTAAATCATTAGACTGTGTGGCAGGCGTCTTAAGAGGTATCGGAAAAACTGAAACAGGGAGAGGTAAAGGGAAGAGAAAAAAAAGGGACACCTTTTTTTTCATTTCTACTCCTTTTCCCTTCACTTCCCTCCCCCTCCCCCCCCCCCCCCCCCCCCTCCTCCCCCCCTTCCCTCTCCCCTCCCCCCCGCACACCACCCACTAACCCTCCACACTACCTCCCTCCTTTTCATCAGTCCTCTCCTGGTTACACCAAAAACAACCAAAGACC